TGTTAATACGTCATGCAGATAAGTAAACGCGCAAGTCATCTGCGGAGCTAACCTTCAGATAGTCACCTTCCATCCACATGTACTTGTCCACTGCACGAACTGGTATTGCCTCTACAATGGGACGCCGAATTTCGACTATCTAAACATGAACTACGAAAAAAATATGTGAGGAATTGATCAGGCAGTTGTGAGGCTCACATCATTGGTGCCTGCTGCATCATCCATGTCCTTTGCCATCTTCAGTAGACGTTCCTTTGCTTTCTGATCCTCCTGATCAATTTTCTAAAAAAAAACTCGTAACCATTTTTTGCATTAACTTATCTTGCAGTCAGCATAGCCGAAGTTCAATTCTGAGAAAAAATTGCTAGTAACCTGTAAGTCAGTAATTGAGCGCTCCAGTCTCTCCAGCTTTCTCTCAATCAACTGCATCCCTTCGTCTGGTCTGGCACGAAGCGTTGGGCACAGCGCTGACCACGAACTTTCACCAATACGACGTAGCCAGCGCTCAAACGTTGAAGTGGTTTCCACCTAAAACCCTTCCTCAATATACAGGAGGGGATCTTGGTTCACTACACTCAACATAATCAGAAACTGCAGTCCTACACACCTTTCCTGTTGCCTTTGCGACAGCTTCTCGGGTTCCCCAATTAATGACGTTCAGGTTTATAAGTGAGTATAATGTCAAGAACACATACGTCGATGGAATCATCAGGAAGAACACAATGCCTTCAAGAATAAATACAGACCTCTGATGTCACTGAATTTGCTTATGTGCTTTACCGTATATAATGTTGACGAATTCTTTTGGATGCAAACATGCGGCAATAAAGAATATCAGAACCATTGCCACAATAAACATCGATGTTGGAGAGATCACAGCTAAAATGAAAAAGAAGAATGGATTTATTGAAAAGGAATAGATAAGAGAATAAAAGCAAAAAGTCCATTGTGCATAAAGGGGCAAAATACTACTAGCAGTTCGGTGTACGGGTAAATTTCGAACGAAAGATTAATGAAACTGTCAAGTATTGTCCCGCTAGGCCTCTGCAGCCAGGGAATCTAATTCAAGGAATTTTCGAGCTTTCCAGCTCAGGATGCTTTTATATTAATTTCAGTAAGCAGACTAAGGAGGACGTGAGCCTTAGGTGGAAACTGGGCTTCTCTTCTTCTTTCCGCGCAAAGATGGGTGTCAAGAGACGCCGCTAGATGTCTAGAAATATCTTAGGCAACATCAGCATTCCATCTAACAAGAATTGGCTGAGTGCTACCAAGCCCTTGAATAGGTACTAAACACTGGAATCATAAACATGTTCGAAAAACAAGTCGACTGCGTAGCACATTCTGAAGTGATCAATAGCAAAAACCAAAACCTGACCCCCTCCGCTTACAAAACTATTGGAGAGTGGGAGGTCTCGTGGGCTATCACGACCTAATACACATCATCAAGCTAATGCAAAATAATCACCCAGCTTCGAAATAAGATCTATTTAACATTCTCACTTTCCAGCACAATCTGTGACGAGTCGCAACCAATACTGCAAGCATTACAAAAGCATAGATGATCGACATCAGCTGAAATATTGCGATACACTCAATTCACGATTCATGAATCGCAAGGAAGATAGCTTTAGAATAAATAGAATTTTAGTAATCGGAATTCCTAACATTCCTTATTAAACTAGTCTTTATTCCTTAACCTACCTTGGCATATAGCAGCTGCACATTGGACTCGGTAGTAAAACATATTACGATGAACAAACTGATTGGAATGCCGTTGTACAGCATCACCCTTGCTGAGTCAACACCAAACGCGGCCACCTGAACTAATATTTTTATTTATTAATTTGATCCAAAACAGAAGTGTTACTGAGTTAAAAGGCTATGCATCAACCTCTAGGTTTTAACCCCTAACAAATAACGAAGCGACAGTGCAAAATCTCATAGGGAAGCCGCTAGTTAAGCACAAGATGAAGTGATGCAGCCGTTAGTGAAAATGACTAGTTTAAGAATCCGCCGAGCCCCTAGCTTCAGTGGCAGAGCGTCTGTCTTGCAAACAGAAGGTCTGAGGTCGATCCCGCATGGAGGCAACCTCCTTTGTTCAAATGAACACATAACCCTGTCCTACCATAACCGCTCTGGCAGCGCGTACCGCGAACTGTGGCCTATCGCAGTGAAACCCTATTGAACTCCCCGATTCTTGGTTAACTTGATTACTTTTGCCGCACCGGTCTAAACACTTGCATGGCGTACTCTACAAGGACGATAAAGGCCTCTATTGTGGTCATTTAACGACAGCTTCAGCTGCCAATATGAGTGGATCGTGCCGATTAGTTCCCACGCCTCCATAGCTCAGTGGCAGAGCGTCTGTCTTGTAAACAGAAGGTCTGTGGTTCGATCCCGCATGAAGGCATTTTGTACAATTGGACAGTCGCTCAAAGTAGCAGGACCTCCATTTTACCTGAGAAACGTAGCACGCGTACAATGCTAAAGGTTAGCTTGCACGCCTCCGAATCAACTAATTTCAAAACCGTCTTTTTTTTTGAAATAATATTCGAGTAATTGTACGGGACTCAACAGTTTTTTTTTTAGTTTCGATTCCTCTATAGTCAACCTCAACAAGGTCTTGTGAGCGTATTGGATTACATTCGACTTTCTACATAGGAAACGGGAAAAACCACTTATAACCAAAATCTGCGATTTAATTGCATTGGAACTCTTGGGACTTAGAAGCAGATTAATATAGCACAAGTCCTAGGAGCTTCTAGCGACTCAGTACTGAACTTCTGGAGCTCCGCGTAATCATCCTAGCGAGGTCAGAGTATTAGTTCATGGCCTATTTTAATGACTGCTCCTTGTTGAGAACCACACCTAACAGCTGTCTGCAGCGATCGTGTAAGTACGTTCTCAGCGCACGGCATGTGCCTCCATAGCTCAGTGGCAGAGCGTCTGTCTTGTAAACAGAAGGTCTGTGGTTCGATCCCGCATGGAGGCATCCGTTTTTGCATATTTCTCTAGCATTAGAGTCCATGACCCATACTGAAATGGACCACTATTTCATATCATCCTATGCAAAACAGAGCCACTGAATTTTCCAAACACAGTAAGCTAGTGCTTTGAAAACGTAACGACAAATTTCACTATATTCTCACTCTTTTCAAACTTTTTTTTCTTGAAAATAACGTTATAGACGTCTAGTGAAATGTGACCAGTAGATGATTGCATGTTGCAGTCGTGAAAGACTGTGTCCAAGTAGCCAGATCACTTTTGGCGAGCTGCTCAGTAAATTTTGACAAATACCTACAGCAAATAAGTGTACTACTGAACACTCGAACACAGCCTAGTTGTCCAGATAATCATTAAAACTTTAAGAAGCGATACTCGAGATCTCGAAATCATAATCTTTCGCACTGGTAGCCGACCCAAAGATTAAGACGAAGGACATTATACGAAGTTATACGAAAGCGACATGCATGAAAAATGACCACTTGGGCCCAGTCACAACGAAAATGCGGTGGCTAGGAAGGATAAATTGCATTATAGTGTCGCTATATTGAAGCTGAGAAAAAAAGAAAACGCGTTCTTTAGTCAAGAGGAGTGATAAAGAATGTCTGTAATTGTTCTACACGATCTAGAACTTTTTGAAAGCATAGATACTCACCTGTGCAAATACGAGCATAGTGAAAATAATTGCAGGGCCGAGCATCGAGAAGAAAATTACCATGAACTGATAGGAAATATAGGACATCGATATTGAATCATTGTTTTCTGAGGCTCTCTGAAAGAAGCTGCTAAAACACAACATATCACAAATAGTTTTTTGGAGGCAGCTGACACTTATTATACCAAATCTGGCTTATCGTCTACCTCTGTGTTTCCACTCCAGAACTGATTGGTATTTCTCCAAAACACTTTTTTCTACTAAGATGATTTGGATTGTCTCTCACCTTATAATCAGACAGGAGGTCGATTGTGTTAGCAATTGATGAGGGTGTCCAGCGTCGACGTTGATTGAAGAACTCTTCAAAACCTTCTGGAGCATAGGTTTCCGCGTCCGATGCAGCCACGTACTCGATACGGTATCCCTAAATTACTCCATCAGCATGAATTTGATCCATGCCGTACGAAGTTATACGAAATTGGTATGTAACACACCTGTTTCAACATAAGAGTACTGAGCCATCGATCCTCTCCTTGATCATATTGTACAAAGTGACGAGGTTCTTGGGCAGTCTTAGTATACCTTAAATATACAAGAAGGTCGCACTGAAATTGAAAGGTAATGCTCATATAGCTGCAGGTTACATCTGGCAATTCGGGGTCATACTGGAAAGCATTTCCAAATAGATGAAGATCAAACTAACTTGTGCATGATATTATCATCCATCAGCGCCGAAGCACGGAACAGAGAGAAGCACCCAGGAGCACACAGCACACATCCGAATACGTGCTCAGCTGCTTTCTGGAACCAGTGTGCGATGGCATATTCGAATTTTTGGTACCACACCATGACACCTGTAAAACGAGGCTACGCCGCACTCTCGATAATTTTTCCGATAATTTTTCAATTAGAATAGTGGCCGATTGGAGAGAGAATTTCAACTAGTAGGAAAGAGCAGATGCAGAGAGCATTGTAAGCCGCGCCATGCAAGCGCGCGTCTTTATGTTTTGGTGTGACTCATCCTATGCTTTCAGGGCGTGGCGATGCGACCGAAGGAGCTATCGAGGAGTCGGCCGTCCGGAGCGAGCCGAGGACTGCAGCCTAGGCTCTTGAGCTTCTTTCCATCGTCGGGGCGACGCCCTAGCCTACCCAGACCAGCTTGTGATACCTTGTTGTGCCTTGTTTGTTCATTATCTCACTCTTCTACCGGTTATCTTCCTGCAACTCCTATCGTTTGCTGTGGTTCTGTTATTACTTAATGTTTTCCGCATTTATTGTTCTTTGATGTCATTAGGATAAATGCTTAGTGAATACAAGGACCTAAGCAGAAGCATGGCGGCACCTTCTCTGCGCGCGCGAGCTTACTGGTAGCTAGCGAGTGGTTCACCCCCTCATCGACTGTAACTGGTGGTATAGGTGTAGGCAGGTAGGAGCGTTATTTTCGTGTGCGTTTCTAAAGTCGGCTGAGTGCGATATTGGCCCGTCGATATCGTTCTCGCTGTCGCAGCTTGTGGATTCAGCGGCATCTCGGGGCCCGAACCAATTGGAAGCCCAACGACCCCAACGTATTGACAAGGGCAGCCCCAAATGAGCGAACAACCGTTACAGCGAAAAAGGAGTTTTAACTGGATCGAGCGCGTTTACCGGCTGGAAGACAAAAAATGCTTTTTGAGGCCGGTAAGGCGCCAATTCAATTGTGCGTTCGGCCAAAAGCCATTTTCACCCAGTAAAGTTCATCAGTTAAACCTCCTTCGTTTCAGGGCTCATGGAGCTTCATCCATGAGTCATATGGTACGGTAATCTTTGTCTCAATGATTTATTTGTTGAGCGATAGCGCGTTTCCCTGGACGGGGGTTTAAACCGTCAGGCAAAAAGTGAATATGGAACTCATGAGTCAAGGTGAATAAAGTTGTTCGTCCCGAGTTCAGGTTTTCGAGGTGTCGTGGTGTGGTGCACCAGTGTTTCCGTCGCCGTTGTTTGCGGTCGTTGCCGCTCTTTGTCGAATCATGGGGGACGTTAAACTAGGAGCTTTGTGGCGACGTGATGTGTTCCTCCGGAGAGGTGAGTTTCAGCAGGAAATGGTGTGGTTCGAACCGTTTCGTTTGAGAAAGTGTGAGTCCCGGGTATTAAAAAATGAATAAAGTAAAACCCGTCGTAAAACGGCAAAAAAAATGTTTCAAGTGATATAATTCAAATAATGCTTTTATTGCCCTTGTTCTTTTTAATAGAAGTTCATCTCGTTTTTTTCGCTTATTAGGCTCGACGGGCCTGTTTTCTCTAGTGTATTTCCGCGTCGATCGCAAGTCGCGGCGCGCGTCTTTATGTTTTGGTGTGACTCATCCTATGCTTTCATGGCGTGGCGATGCGACCGAAGGAGCTATCGAGGAGTCGGCCGTCGAGCGAGCCGAGGACTGCAGCCTAGGCTCTTGAGCTTCTTTCCATCGTCGGGGCGACGCCCTAGCCTACCCAGACCAGCTTGTGATACCTTGTTGTGCCTTGTTTGTTCATTATCTCACTCTGTCTACCGGTTACCTTCCTGCGACTCCTATCGTTTGCTGTGGTTCTGTCATTACTTAATGTTTTCCGCATTTATTGTTCTTTGATGTCATTAGGATAAATGCTTAGTGAATACAAGGCCTAAGGCAGAAGCATGGCGCACCTTCTCTGCGCGCGCGAGCTTACTCCATAAACATTATCATTATCACACGGGGTATTCCTCTGAACACCGCTACAACAATTTTTCAGGGAATCAAGCTAGAGGGAAAATTGATTCAGTTTCGGAAAAAAAAGGTAAAAGGTTGTGCTAACATAACCTGAACCATAGGATGAATCCGACCACAAGCACACCCGATATCAACTCTTAGTGTTCATAAGATTCAATAATCGCATTACTGCCTTAATGTTTCAAGATAAAATTTCACATCATCACGAAGAATTTGACTCCTAATCAAAACATAAACCAGATCAAAGTGGAGGGGTAGGTGGATAATGGTGTTGCGGATGCCGAGATATGAAATTGAAAAAGAACCAAAGCAAACCGTTGATGAAGCCATTAACAAATATTTCCCCTTCTCTCCTGAAGTAAGGAAGCTGCGGGGTCAGATGAGTTGTCTAAACGTGCTTGTTCCATGGCTCCATTGCCCGCGCATGTTTGAAATGGTTTACGAGTGGCGTACTCGTAATCCACGCTGGGTGTTAAGGCCGAGCCGCTTTAATCTCGGAGGATCGCATCTAGCCCGCCATTAATATTGTCTATGTAAGTCCATTGTCGCGTACTTCCGAGCGGCAAACGACACATCTGTGATATTCGTGGCTGATATTCGTGGGCTATTCTATCCCACCCACAGAACAGATTCTTCCCACGACCTCATCTGGGCTTATTGCTTTAATTCCAAAAAGTCATTGAATGATTTGATACATACCTCTGGTTCAAACTTGGAGTCCCCATCAATAGCAAGAATGAAAGTGTTGTCGGCCATTTGTTGACGATCTTCAATGCTTAGTGGTGAATCCATAATACGATGACCAAGCAGATAGTACATGTACATAACCTCAAAATTTTTGCTTACCTTTTCTTATTTCTGAGCTACACGACTGAATTCTTATTCAGTGATAGAAACGCCTACAAGGAGAAGTCAAACCTGACTCCATCTCTTCTTATGTCTGATGAGCTTCTTATCCTTGAGGTGTACAAATAACAGCGTACCGGCGGGTAACCTCACCACTAATCTTCCACCATATGGAGTATTTACCAAAATTCTTGACATTATCGAGCCCGATTCATCAACGAATTCTCTAAAAGTGCAGAAAAATACTGAAAATACGGTAGTGATCGACATATTCATGCCCTATTTGGGATCAGCAGGTTAAAAATACAGTAGAAACTTATGAAGGTCTCGATTGGAAAATTGAGAAAAATAAATCAAGAAAGTGTCATACATAAACTGAACATGTGTACCTTCCTTCTCACTTCCTATTCCCAGTGAAAGACCACAAAAACACGCTCACACAAACTATTATTCATTCAAAAAGGTAGTGATCCCTTACCCAGTCAGCTCACTTAGAGTCTCGAAGAATGTGCGGAAGAAATCGTTCGGAACTCGTTTAGTGATATTTAGCTCCGTCCGGTCTTCCCATGCATCATCGAAAAATATGTGACCTGTAGTAAACAAAAAACCACATTAACATATTCACGCCGTTGACAACCCACACTATGGGCTGCGAGCTAATAATCGTAGGCTATTTAGATTTTTATTTTTTAACACGTTGACGACCGCCGTTATGCGCGCACTGCTTCAACATTTTTCGTATTCTCTCATCAATAGGCATTAATCCTTCAGCGTTTTCATTATCAGTAATGAAAAACTGTTTTTCGGATCCAATAATGTACATGGACCGTTGTGGAACAGAAAAAACGCCAAATAAATTGAGGAAAACTAGTCTGCTCCATGTGAAAGTGTGGTATGACATCATACCACACGGTCGTCAACGTGTTAACTACCCGAAGTCCACGGATGTGAGGTGAGGCGGCGGCCGCCTATCCCACTCGAAAGCGAAAAAAGGTGCCGCCGTGGTTATGCTAAGAATGACTAGGAACTTGGCTTTGCTCATGAAGAACATCACTGAGGAATCGTGAAGGTGCTCTTATCAGCAACATTATGAACGAAACAAACCCACCTTCAAGCCTGAAACGCAACTGGTCCGTCTTTTTAGCTCCTAGTCTTCGCGCATGTTCCTCATCCAATCTAAA